ATTCGCAGTGCCGCGTCCCAATCCCCTTTACCCCTCGGGCCGTGGCACAACCCTAACTCCTACATGAGTGAAATGCTGCATTTATCAATTCACGCAAAAAACAGTTGGCATTGGAACAATGGTCCTTGTGATCTACCCTTTCTTTTCCCAGGATTTCCAGGACAATTTCCACCAGAGTTGTCACTGCAACTCACAAGGTAGTAACACACCTACGAGAGCGACCTATCCAAGGTGCCTGCACAGCAATGCAACTTCAGCCCTCCAAACAAGTCCTGGGCCTTGCTCTGATTCCACATCTATTTTCAAAACAGGTTTGGTTCTCTTGTTAAAAGATTATTTTGATCAATGAAGTGCCAAGGGGAAGAAACAAGTGGCAAATTACCTCACCTCCCCAAAAATTTTTAATTTCAACTTGATGAACTAACTACTACATGTGAATTAATGTGAATTAAATTTAAAAATATTAAAAATGCATCAGGACTTGTTTCTTTTGTACCTGTTGTTAGCTCACAACATGTAGAGTTGGTAGATTAATCAGAACTAAAATATCTCAAATCGTTGTGTATAATCAATATGTCCAACTCTACCAGCAGTACTATTCTAGCACTCCTGATGCACCTGAATACCTGAATTAAGTGTGCAGTCCTTATGAAGAAACAATTTCACATCTTCTGCAGAAAGCTTTCAATAAAAGAATTTTGTGCTTAGACATATTATTTATGCTACTTCATAAATTAAAATCTTATAATAAGAAATTATTCTGTTACATTGTATTTTTATTCTTTTATCTAAAAACTTAAAATATGCATAAATATAAAAAATCTGCAAAATAGAAACATTTATCTAATTTTCTTAATAAACTGTAAATGTTCACAGATTCTAAAAATAAAACCCTAATTGTCTGATCAGAAGTGTCTGATCTCATTTTTATTACACATGATGCTTGGTACTAGGTTCAGTGTTTCGGAAGTATGGAATGCTGTCTTGGTGTAAAGCAACTCTAAAAGGAAGACTTAAACCCAGCTCTCTGTGGGCACAAAAGGGGGAAGGACAATGAAGAAGCCAATATATTTTGCACGTTTCAATTGTTATGCCTCATGAAAAAGGGCATGGGATACAAACCTGCGGAAAACTGTTTTCAGTAAGATCAAACTTGAGTGAGAAAGTGAGCCCAGTGCTGTGTGCAACTGAGCGCCACTTCTGAAAACGTCCATGAAACAAGGCTGCCAGAGAGAGACGGTCTTCTGCTGCTAAAAAGCTGCAGCACTGCCTGCAAAACAGAACAGGCTGACCTTGTGACTGTAATCTTTCCAGTGACTTTGCTTTAGCTATGCCCAGTAACTGCAGCGGTTTCCTCTCCCTGCGGGCACAAACGCGAGGGCAGCACTGACTCAGGGACACCACAGGGATGCCGGGTCCTGCCTCGCACCCGCTCCAGCAAAACACATCAAGCAAGGCAATGTTCACAGGTGTAAAGTGAGCATGGCCTCGTGCTTGTGGGGGGATCAGAACTGTAAGTCCCTATCCTCAAAAGCCAGTAAATAAATACCCACTTAAATACCCACTTAAACCTATCAACCACCTAAGCACAGGTTGGCTGTCATACACCTATTCACACACTGTTCTAGAAAACGAAACTGCTCCGAATAAGGGTCTTCAAACACATATTTAATTTGGTTTCAGAAAGAAACTAATTTGTCTTTAAAATGATTTTGTTCTTGTCTGTGCCAAGGATCCCTTTTTCTCCTTTCAGGTGCTGCACCTTCAGTGAAGGTTTCAGAGAGATGACAGCCTAACGGAGCCATCCCGCTGCAGGGGCATTTGTAGATAGGTCTGAGGACCTGAGCATTTTCAATGAACAGGTCTGGAGATCTGAGCATTTTCAACAGCTGGTGCTTTCAAGCATACAAATATTGTGCGCTTAAAAGGGAGGCAAGATGGAAGGTGTGAGAATCCAGCCCTCTCACCACACAGGAGATGTTCAAGGTCGAGCTGCTCTTTGCAATGATTCGTTTGAAATTCCCTTTGTCCACTGTTTTCCTCTTTTAGTCCCAGGCAAGTCACAGAAGGATGCTTTAAAATGTTTTCTTTCAAAAACTATTTCTTTGATTAACAAAGTAAAAAAGAAAATAAAACAAAATACACCCAATCCCTGAAGGTCAATAACTGTAGAGTAGGAACTCCCCACAGAAGATTAGATAACATAAAGTCAGACTTCTTTACAACAACAAAACCCCATATTATCCAATAAAAATAATTTAGTAACAAATGTCCAGGCTTGGTCTTGATAGTAATCCTACATTAAAAATATTTTTCAACCCAAGAAAACTCCACAAATCAAATCTATAAAAGCTAATGAACCAAACGACTTATTTAATCTTTACACAATTAAAAATAAATGTATTTTTACCAAATAAATGGGTGGCAGCCCACAGGCAGAGGAATTTTTTCCACATTCTTTCATGAAGCAAATGTTTCAAAGATAAGAATTTGAATTGTTGATGCTTTCAAACTCATATCTTTGATAACTTAAAGCAAGGAGGACAGGACAAGGAAAAAAATAACATAATATTTTTATGTAACTGCATAAAATTCAATTTGCCAAGGCAAGCAATCATGGCAGATGAATAAAATACCATTCACATTTTCATTACCATGCTAAAAGCAGCCAAGTTGATTTTTGTGCCTGACATTTTCTTGACAAGTTTGCAATGCTTTGGTAAGGCAATTAATATGAGATATAGGCTTCTGCCCATTGCTAATATTTCTCTTTAGATCTAGCAAGACACTGGTTGACTAAGGACATTTGAAGAAAAAGTGTGCTGGGAGTCATCTACTCTGCACATATGGAGATAAACTGAAGGCAATATTTATTCACAAGCAGAAGGCGCAGGAGGGATGACCACTGTGCATTTAGCAGCACAAACCCTCTCCCCCCCTTCTCTTTCTTTTAGCTAACAATATTTTGTGTTCATAACTAGGCACAAACCAATATGTTCAAATGCAAAAAAGGAAAACAAACATAATTTTTTTCTAACTGAAGCCTCTGTGTTGTACCTAGCAACATATACCAGTTCATTTTTATGTGTGGCCACATACTGAGCTCTGTTTTCTTGCTGTCAGTAGTTAATTTTGGCAGTTTCTCTCACAAACACAAACTCCTGACCATAGTGTGTACTCAAGAGCAGCAGTGGGTCGATAGCCCAGTGTAGCACGGACACATGCCAGCTTACTGAACCTCTATCCAGGTGAATATGGCTCTCTGCTTGTTACCTCAAATAAATAACAATGGAAATTCACTTAGGGTAAATTTGGGAAATGTTGCCTCTGATGGATATAACAGATATTTGTATTTTCCCAATTGGTTAACCTTTTGAAATGGTTACTGTTACAGCAACATATGCATTCATCCTTCGTTGTGCTGCACAGCAGAGCTACTTCCTAGGCTGCAATGGGATGGGGATCTGACAGCTGTCAGCTGCTTTCTGATTAGCTACTCAATTATTTTATCTTGTCAGGACTAAAGATAAGGACGGCCCCTGACCATCTAGGATAGCCTTCTGTATTCATCTGGTACAGTGCACCCTACTAAATACCTGGGGACAGCGCAGCGTCGCGCACACTTGGTAAAGTCACATAACTGTGAAATTCAACCTCTTTTGGAAGCCATTGCTTTTAGTTATCAAGAAAACACTAGCATATTGAATTTCCTCCAAATGGAGCATTTTTGAACATGAAGGCATTTTTAACTGCACAGCAGAAAGGAGAACCAGACCAGAAGCAGGGCAGTGAGGTCATCAGAGAGCTGCTTTCCCCCCCAGAAGGCTTTTAAATGATTAAATACATCAGCAGCTGAAAATTATTCCACATCAGAAGCATCATTGTCAGAAAGATGGTAATTACTTCCCTTCACCCGAATATACTCGATATACCTCCCTTCATCAGAATCTGACATACCACATGTACATAGCCTGTTTTCAAACAAAGATTCAATTTCCTCTAGTTTTTTCCCTTTAGTCTCAGGAAGGCAGCCGTAGATGAAGATTAGTCCCAAGGCAGCAAACCCTGCGTAGAGGAAGAAGGCTCCTGCAATGTAAAACAATTGGCACAGTCAGTTACAGAGGTTCCCATCCCTTCTCTGTGCCTGAGCAGAGGGAGCGACAGAAGCAGCAGGTTGGGAATCAAAGAGTGTGTAAAAGCAAAGGTTAGAGGGACAGGATTATAACAACGAGCTGCAGGGCTGTGGGTGTAGAAGCAGGACACTTTATTGCACCATTCTGCAGCAAAGTAAATTAAAAAAAGAAAATTTCAATTAATGCCAAAGATAATAATGCACATCCTTTCTGGGCAAGTCACTCTGCTGTTAAAATAAACAGCAATTAGACAATCACATGCCCAAATAAAAAAATCATATGTGGAAGGCAAGAGCTTTCTTAGTTTATCTTGACAGTGAAGATAAAGACAGTGAAGGACACATTAAGACAACTCCTCAAAATGAGAAACTCTAGCAAAAGAATGAGTCAGGATTAAAATAACGCTTGCAACTCTTACACCTAATTATAATTTAAAAGTCCTCTGTAGAGACAATTAATATTGAGAAAGAGCTCATTCCCGCCCACGATCCATCATACCTAGAGGGGCAGAGAAGGTACCAAAGGACCAACAAACATTTACCTGCCATGTGTTGCTAGACTGATGGCTCAAAGGAATAACAAGTAGAGCTGAAAGGCTCTGTACTAGTAATGATGTGAAGGTCACATCAGCAGCCTGGCAGCTTAATGTAATTTAAATGACTTGTGCTGGAGTGACTGAGCAGTAACCTGACAAACACTCCACAGGCTCCCGCAGACAGGACTTAATCAACATCTACATTTCTGCAAGGACCATCTGAAATTGGCCTTGGATGCCACCACAAACTCCAAAACTGCAGATCCTGTGGGAATTAGCATATTTCACTAAGTCAGAAGTGCGATTTTTTCCAGCTTCTCTGTTTTAACCAACTGTCTAGGTTCTCAGTTAAGGACAGAAATAAATGTTTTTTTATGAAATCTGGACCAAAGTCTATAATCCAGGCAGGTTGTATCAGATCTCCAGTCTTACTGAACCACAGTGGGTTGTGAACACTGCATTCACACTTGACATTTCATAGCAAAACCAACTGAGGGACTCGAAATCTGTAGAAAATCTCTGTGCCAGTGGCATGAACACATGAACACATACTGTTACTTACCATAGTATGTCAGATATTCAGCTGTATGCAGAAACGTCAGTGACACAAGCACATTGAAAACCCAGTTGACTCCAGAAGAACATGCGTTTCCTGTACTTCTAGCCCAAAGTGGATAAATTTCAGAATTGACAGTCCAGGGCATAGGACCCATCCCTAAGAATTGGGGAAAAAAGATCAATCTCAGTCTAATGGCTGGACTCAAAAGTAAATTTAACATGTAGCCTCACTATTTGATATTTTACAACTTCATAACTTACATGTGAAAACAATTGTTTGCTTACCAGGTGCAAAGAAAACCAAGTACAAAATAAGGCCCAGAAGTGCTGTCCAAGAGTATGGAGTGGGGCAGAAATTATACGCCCAAAACAAATCTTCCTTTTTGAACACTGTTTCATTTGAACACCTGAAAAAGAACAAAAAACTTTATATTGAAGAATTTTTAAGGAAATAGGTGACATCTCAATATAAACATAGCAAGTAATGTCTTAGGAAAAGCTGACAAATGTACAATTAAGACAAAAAAGCTTCATCCCTGTTAATTTATCAAGATCCTTGAGGAAAGTTTTAAATTCAGAAATGTGTTTTTTTCTCAAGCCTGGTCTTAGGAATAATACTCAGCAAAACATTCCTGAATTTACACACTTGCCTTGTATTTACAAATCTACGTCCAACAACCAGTCTTTACTATGCAAGTGGTGATACCAAAAGCAACAAGACCATTCACATGAACATCACACAGTACAAAAAGAGCTGCAGCAGCAGGACTTTGAGCTAAAGATGCTGTATCCAGGGATTTAAGGTCAGACAGAAGTTAGTCCTTACAGCCTTGATGAACTAACTATCTGCTGCACACTTTGTGTGTAATCAGTAATGTCTATGGAGTGTGCCAAGGTCAAGTGAAGTTGTAAGGCAAAGAGGCATGTATTTTCTTTCCTATACAGTTAAGAAGAAGGCAGCATTTCTAATTAACTACTGAAAAAGAAGTGTCTCTATTCCAAGGACCATGTGGAAATTACACATTTTGAGGAATAGGTATAAAATCAGGTATTTCCATCTGACTGCCAATAATATAATATATTTTAAAGGAATACTGGTGACTTGATTTTTTGTTACAATTTTTTTTTAAATTAGCATTTTTTTAAAGAGACAAATCATAAATGCAACTAGAGAAACTTTTCAGCTGCCACCACATCGATTGCTACAGACAAAACCCCATGTAGTTTTGGAAGAGAAGACTTAAGCAGACACTACTCTTTCATATGCAAACAATGTTATTTACTTGAAAAGAAGAAATCACAGAGAGCTGAATATCTGCCTGGGTTATGATTTCCAGGTCAGCTGAGCATTTATGTGAAGGATATGACCCTCTTGACAGTAGGGAAACCAGAATGAAGATGCCTGCAATGGGTGATAGTTGGGCAACAGGTTGTGAGATGGTAGAGCAACAGACACCCTGAAATGCTTCAGAGGACCCATTATCATTTCAGTTGACTTTCAAAAGCAAATTCCAACAAAATACTTCTCCTCTAACTTTTCTGTTAGGAAACAACCAGCCGGCCCCAGATTGAACAGGAATGTGTTAAGGACCGATGGCCAACCCACCACCACTCCTGGGGTAGAAATATTCCTTATGTTGTCACTGATGTATCAAAAGGACACCACTTAAGCAGGATATCACTGTGAAGTCACAGATCCAATTTCAGGACAGCTGGAAATGCAAAGTTCAAGTACATTTAAAAGAGAGAGGTTAACCCAACAAATACGGGAAAAATGCACATGTGAAAACTGGGTAAACTCTAATGCTGTCTTAATGGCAGTAAGCTGTAAGATTTGCAGGTCCACCTTGCACTTGAGCAGCACCTGACCAACTGGAGAAATGTTGAGCCATGATGTGCTGCTGGCAGTGCTGCCAGTCCTGGTGTGCACCTTTCCACCCTTCCACAGCTCTGCCTTGCTGAGCTCTCCTGGAAAGGCCATCTCATGCAGGGCATAGATTCACTTTCAGTCTTGATGTGAAAAACAAATAGAAAACAGGTCAACTGAACATCTCTCTCAAAGATACATCCTTTGTGCCTGGATACAGCAAGCTCATGGCCACTGAAGCACCCATCAGCCTAAGACACCAGCAGTTTCCATGACAGATTTTTCACCTTTTCTCAGCCAAAGGTACTGCTTCCCTCCTTGCTACTTCTTCATCTTGCTTCCAGGTTCCTTCTTCTGTCACTTTGCTCTTTCATGGCTTAGCTCAGCATCTCTTTCTATGTTATGAATGTGAGACATGGTTCATTCCCTGTTAGTGTCCACCCTGATGTTTCCCTACCACTATACATACTCCTCACTGCATTTGGGTTAAATCAGGTTTGAGCTGTGTCCCAGGTACATGGCATACAGAAGACTGAACTGTGCTGGAGAAAAATCCATGTTTAAAATGTAAATTCCTTATGTGTTAAGGAAATGGTGTTTAAAAGATTAATTACTGAACACCCAGTGATCCCGTTGTGACCTCCTGCTCAGCCCTGCGTAGCTGCTCCCTCTGTGTCTGCCCCACTGCAAGATGAAAGGAGTGCTCAGTTTCACAGTTTTAACATCATCACTTTTGCTTCATTTGCTGTTACTCTAACTTCATTTGCAGGTGTTTGTACTGAATACAAGCTGATGAGCATTTTAAAACATCTTGATGCTGAGATGGGCTTCTCCATTCTGCCCAGCCAGATTGGCAGCTCCTCAGAGAGGGCTTATGCTTTCTCTCAAACACTACTGTAAACAGACATACTTGGTTTATTATCTTGCATGCATCTCCATGAGCACAAACCAACCTGCTGATTCATACAGACACAACTGTAGGCAGGTCAGCACGTTTCCTTCTCCTGCCATCTTCCCCCAGGTGTGTCCTACTTTTGATAGAGTGGAACACAAATGATACAAGGGAAAAACAGATGTCTCCAAAGTCTCCTATGGCTGAAGCCACTCATCTATTCTCTGCTGTCTGCCCATAACTGAGAGGAAATTTTTTTGCAAGAAAGCAGATTCAGCGCAATGAAACAAGAAAAACAGCATTGGAGACTAGATTTAATAGAAACCTTGCAGTAATGAACTGTGCTTTGCTAATCCTTCAGTAGTAAACCAGCGTGGTACACAGAATAAAAGCAAAGACATCTGCATTTTCCAGCATCTTGGAGTGCTGGATATGTTCAAAAATAACACTCCTTCAAGGCTGGAGATTTGTTCAAGCTCTGCTACCGCGCTAATTTTACTGCTATACTACTATTTCTACAAAACTTATTATTTTGCTGAAGAATATATTAATAATTAGTGTATAAAGTACTATCAGATAAAATTCTGAATTTTGTCCTGCATGAAGGTAGAATATATGATGGAAGCAGATGAGCAGCTATCCATCACTTCATGAGCTTAAACACACAGAAGAAAATCATAGAATCATAGAATGGTATGAGTTGTAAGGGACCCTAAAAATCTAGTTCCAACTCCCCCTGCCACAGGCAGGGACACCTTCCACTAGGTTGTTCAAAGCTCCATCCAACCTGGCCTTGAACACTTCCCAGGATGCAGCAGCCACAACTTCTCTGGGCAATCTGTTCCAGTGCCTCACCACCTTTATAGTAAAGAACTTCTTTCTAACATTGAATCCAAACCTACATTCCTTCAGCTTAAGGCCATTCCCTCTTGTCCTTACATGACCTTGTAAAAAGTCCCTCTCCAGCTTTCTTGTAGGTCCCCTTTAGGCATTGGAAGTCTGTCTCCCATCTCCCTGGAGCCTTTTTTTGTCCAGGCTGAACAACTCCAACTCTCTCAAGCCTGTCTTCATAGCAGAGGTGCTCCAGCCTTCTAATCATCTTTGTGCCCTCCTCTGGACTTGCTCCAGCAGGTCCACATCTTTCTTGCACTGGAGGCCCTAGAGCTGGACACAGCCCTCCAAGTGGGATCTCATGAGAGCAGAGCAGAGGGGCAGAATCCCCTCCCTCGACCTGCTGGTCACACTTCTTTTGATGCAGCCCAGGACATGGTTGGCTTTCTGGGCTGCAACTGCATATTGCTAAGTCACATTGAGCTTCTCGTGAATCAACCCCCCAGTCCTCAGGGCTGCTCTTGATCCTTTCTCTGCCCTGCCTGTATTTGTGCTTGGGATCGCCCCAACCCACATGCAGGACCTTGCACTTGGCTTTGTTAAATGCATGGGCTCACCCCTCAAGCCTGTCAAGGTCCCTCTGGATGCCATTCCTTCTCTCCAGTGTGTCGACAGCTTGGTGTTGTCAGCAAACTTGCTGAGGGAGCACCCAATACCACTTTCCATGTTGCTAACAAAGATCTTAAACAGCATCAGTTCCAGTGCTGACCCCTACGGAATGTTACTTGTCACTGGTGTTCACTTGGTCCTTAAGTTGGTGACTGCAATGCTCTGAGTACAACCATTCAGCCAATTCCCTGTAAACAGCTTACAAGTGTAATGATGCAGTCGGGTACCAGTGCAAAGAATTTGTATATACAATATGCTGGGTAATACTCATTTCCTTGATAATCAATATAAATTTTCCTAATACTTGAGCCAATTTGGTTGTACAATAATTCTGAAGGGCAACACTGAGAATCACAGCACAGGAAATGGCTGTGCATGACAGAGCACAGGCACAAGACAGAGATCAATTTGATTTTTCTCTCCAATTTCCATTAATTTTTGCTTTGCTGTAGAGTGAGGACTGTGTAGCCCTAAAGATATGGCTTCTGTGAGAATTAAATGTTTCATTCTGAACAGTTCACATAATTTTAATATGAAAGCTGTTGACTTCTCGTTGTCTTTTAAGCCCTTCAGAAGCATCTTAAATGGATTTAGATCAAAAGTCTTAAAAGGTCAAAATTCAAATCAAGTCAGGCTAAGGAAATTACTTCTGAAGAAAATCACTAATATGATCATTCATCTCCCTAAAATGCTTGTTAAAACACACATATTTCAAAATTACACATTCTGCTCTGAGATGAACTTTGACATCAGGTGCTGATGGCACTGAAAGATTTGAGAGCTAATCCACAGTTTCGCTAATCCCTTATCTCTTTGTTCTGACAAGAGTAAACCTACTCAAGGACTGCTCTTATGCCAGACTTTTGTGCCTGGGTTATCAAGATGATGGTAATCTACAATTTGTCAACTTATTCTCCAGTGTAACACAAATATATTGGATTTAGAAAAAACCTCCTTTAAGGAGATTTTTAAAGTCTCCTGTGTACAGTGCTGACTTTTATATTATGCCAATCCATTGAACAATATAAATTTATGCCAAGTTTATTGACTCATGTTTTCATCTGAAGTCTGTCATGGAAAGAACAGAGGACCAAAGAGACATAATTTAGAGTAGCTGCTGTTTGGACTGAGGAAGGTTTCTGTAGAAG